ACCTTGTAGTCACCCCTGCTGCAGGCCAGAAGAGTACTGCAGCACTACCACTGATGCTCCCTTAAGTCCCACGGGTGCTGAAGTCAGCTCATGGTGAATGCTCCCTGGACTGGGACTCACCCTTCAGGGCAGTGGGTGCCTGTGTAGTCCAGGGCAGGTCCAGAAATGCTGTCCAAGAGTCACATCCTTGAACCGGGGGCTCCGATAGCCATGTGTTACTGTATCCCTTCTTGCTATGCTGGTACCTGAAGCCAGTGAGTCTCAGAGAATAACCCAAGGCCCTCAATGTTTATTCGACCAAAGGGTTTATCAGTTAGCCGGTTATAAATGCTGCCAGGACCTGGTCATTTCTTTCAAGACAGCACGTTTCTTTCCAGCCCAGGGTGTGTCTAGTCATGCTGTCCAGAAGGTATTGCCTGGAACACGGGCTTCACAACTCTGACCAGTGGCCTATTCTGCTGTGGTTGAGCTGGTATTCAAGCAAGGAAAAAACGTTCCTCACAATCCCTCTCTCTCTCCTCTCCTCAAGTGGAAGGAAGGGCTCTTTTTTGGAGCTGCCAGCTGTGCAGTCTGTGGGGCTAGGGCAGGGATGACGCCAGCACACCCTCGGCTGCCCCAGCTGGTGTCTCAGTAGGTCATCTGCACCCTTCCACAGCCCCGCCACAGTCCACTGTCTCTGGCCCAGTTCAGTGCTAGAGCTGCAGTCCTTATGGCCGAGACTGCCTTTAAGGTTTCTGAGAAACCTGGAACAGATGAGCCCTGGTGGCAAGGCTTGTGTGGAACTCAAGTTATGATTGCTGGGATGGGCGATTTCCCTCTGGCTTGAGCTGGTTTAAATGCTCCCTTCCCAGGTGGGAGTCAGCTAAGTTTGGTCTGGGTTTCCTTTCTGCCGTAAGAGACAGGACTGAGTTCAGTGCCTCACAACTGCTGTGCTCTCGCTCTCTTCCGGCTTCCAGAGATGCTCTTTACACCACACTGCCACTGCCTAGGGTAGGGAAGGGGTAGTGTTAGCGACTTAAGACTGTTTTTTTTTTTCTAACTTGTCAGTGTCTCTTTCAGTGATACAAGCAGGTACTATGAGAGTTCACCTGATTTTGGTTCCTATAGAGGTGTTTTGTTCTGTGTGGATGGTTGTTAACTTCTGTCATTGCGAGGGGGCTGATCTGTGGAGCTTGTTTTCTGCTGTTCTTACTCCACCTCTCTTACCTTAAGGTTTTTTTTTTTTTTCCCTCTGAAATGTCTAAGAATGAAGAGTGTGATGCTTTATTACTATCCAAATATGAAAATGCTTTCATGTCGCATGCTGGATGGAATATTAGTTTGCAATGACAAATACCTTCAATTGTACATATCAAAGAGTAAGAAGAAAAGCATTGTATTTTTTGTTTTTACCTTGTTGTCTGACAACTCGAAAGAATAGTTGTCTATTCCAAGATGATATTAGGGGAATTTTGTTCTGTAAATCAGTAATAGGCATTTAGTATTTGGATAGAGAAAAGAAAACTAGATTTTGTTGGCTGATATTTAGTATATTTTATTGTTTCATATTATCCCTGACAATGATGACTTAGCAAAAAACAGTTACAAAACTGATATAACTAAACACACACACACACACACACACACACACACACAGATGAACACGTGTAAAACTGATGAAATGTGAATAGATAGAGTGTATTAATGTCCATTTTCTTTTTGCTTTTTCTTTTTTCATTGTCCTTTAGGTCCTGGGGTACATGTGCAGATCACGCAGAATTGTTATATAGGTAGATACATGGCAAGGTGTTTGCTGCCTTCTTCCCCCCATCACCCACATCTGGTATTTAATGTCCATTTTCTGGTTGTGATGTTGTACTATACTTTTGCAAGATCAGTGGAGGAGACTGAGTAAAGATACTCTGGTAGTTCTCCATAGTATTTTGACATGTTTACAGATATATTAAAAGGCATTCAGTATAATTAATTATAAGAGAAATGCCTAATTAAACCACTGCATCACTTCACACTCATTAAGAATGCTGTTATCAAAAAGACAATAAATAGCAAATGTTGATGAGCGTGTGGAGAAGAAAGAACCCTGGTACACTGTTGGTGGAAATGTAGATTGGTATAACCATTATGTAAAACAGTATGGAGGTTACTAAAGAAATGAAAAAGTTGGCCGCTGGAATGGCGGCTCATGCCTGTAATCCCAGCCCTTTGGGAGGCTGAGACAGGCATATCTCTTGAGGTCAGGAGTTTGCAACCAGCCTGGCCAACGTAGTGAAAACTCATCTATAGTAAAAATACAAAAATTAGCCATGTGTGGTGGCATGTGCCTGTAGTCCCGCTACTCAGGAGGCTGATGGAGGAGAATCACTTGAACCAGGGAGGTGGAGGTTGCAGTGACCTAAATTACACCATTGCACTCCAGCCTGGGTGACAGAGTGAAACTCCATCTCAAAGAAACAAAGTGACTACCATATGACACAGCAATCCTTCTTCTGTATAAATACCCAGAGGAGATGAAATCACAGCCTCATAAAGATATCTTCACTCTTGGCTGGTCACAGTGGTTCACACCTGTAATCCCAGCACTTTGGAGGCCCAGGTGGATGGATCACCAAGTCAGAGTTCAAGACCAGCCTGACCAATATGTTGAAACCCTGTCTCTACTAAAAATACAAAACTTAGCCAGTGTGGTGGCACATGCTTGTAGTCCCAGCTACTCTGGAGGCTGAGGCTGGAGAATCACTTGAGTCCAGGAGGCAGAGGTTGCAGTGAGCCTAGATCACACCACTGCACTCCAGCCTTGGCAACAGAGCGGAGACTCTGTCTAAAAAAAATATATATCTGCAGTCTCATATTCATTGTAGCATTATTAACAATAGCCAAGATATAGAGACAAATTAAATGCCCATCAGTGGATGAATGGATTTAAAAATGTGATGTCAGGGGGTGGGGGGTTTTGTTACATATATTTATACAGAACAAATATTATTTGATCTTAAGAGGAGATCTTCACATCTGCCACAACATGAATGATCTGGAGACATCAAACTAAGTTAATAATCCAGACAGAAAGAAAATATTCAATGGTCTCATATGAGACTGTATAACTTAGGGGCTCAAATAGACTGAGGTAAAGAATGAACATTGGAGGGGGAGGGGAAATGAGGAGATGGATGTTGAAGGATACAAAATGGCAGATATGTAGGATGAACAAGTCTAAAGACCTAATGTACAGAGGGGCTAAAGGAAATTGTCTTATGAATTTTTGTTAAATAAGATTTTTGGCTGCTATTTTCACACACACTTAAAATTAGAGAAGAGCTGGGTGCGGTGGCTCATGCTGTAATCCCAGCTACTCAAGAGGCTGAGGCAGGAGAAATTGCCTGAACCCAGGAGGCGAGGTTGCGGTGAGCCGAGATTGCTCTATTGCACTCCAGCCTGTGTAACAAGAGTGAAACTCCATCGTATTAAAAAAAAAAAAATCTGAGAAGAGCGATATGCTAATGTGCTTGACCACAGTAACAATTTTAGTTTCTGTATCCCATAATATGTTGTAAACCTCAAATATCACAACACAATTTCTTTAAATAAAATAAAAATCCATCATACTTCTACATACTAACATTGAACATGTGGAAATCAAAATTAAATGCATGATACTATGCACAGTCTCTTGAAAGCAAATGTAATATAAGGTATAACGTAAAACATGGACAAGAAGGTGTGTACAAATATTAAAAATCAAAATATCTTCCTAAAATTTAGAAAATACAAAAACGTACCTGACATATTCATTTACAAAAAAGAACAGATTAGACATACACAGATGCATCTTAAAAACAGGCTGAGTGAAACAAGATTTGATGATGGATACAGAAATTGAAAACTAATGTCCGCAAACAGTATGAGACATATGTTAACACTCATACAGAGAAAAGGATGCACATCAATGCATTACAAGGATTGCCAATGTAGACAAGAGGAATAAAACTGGGTCATGGAAATAAAGGAGAGTGAATGAGTAATCAACAGGAGTGCGTCTTGAGCAATTAACCCGAGGAACAGACCTCAGCCCTCTACACTTGATGCCAAAACCACTCTACTGTATTCCCTCCAATAGAAACAGGATTTTTTTCCATGGAAGAATCCTTTTTTCTTTGTTTTTTTTTTTAATTGCATTTTAGGTTTTGTGGTACATGTGAAGAACATGCAATTCTTAGTCACTGACATTCTATGGAAATACTGGTGTATGGAAGTGGTAATAAAAGTATCAACTTGTACTTGTATGATTGTGTTCAAATTCTCTGTAGACTATGCTTTCGTTTATTGCCTGCAGTAGACAATGGCCACTCCCAGTGTCCCACATTTGGTAGGCTCCTGCTCCACCTAGAGTTTCTTATCAAAGAAGTGCCTTACTATTGGGACCATGTCCTGCAAATACCATCATTCTAGTGTGTGTGATGTGCTGTTTTACTTTCCGTAGGTTGAGGTTCTTGGTCTTTTAGAGGGTGTTCAGTTGCTCAAAGAGTTGAGTGAGTTAGAAACACACTACCATGAGGTATATGTCCTGGAGGTGTTGATTTTGATGTCTTCATTGTGGAAAGAGTGTCACGGTCACCTACATACAATGCAGCTCTTTTTATGTGCCCTTCTAATTATGTACATGCTCCAAGAAACACCAAATCCTCTACTTTGTCTCCTGTGGGATAAAATTTTAGGAAGAAGATTTGTCTCCAGGAATCAGTCCTTCACCAAGTCCTTATTCAGAATGTCTGCCACACCTGTGGGTCTGCCACCAACCCTATAGGACCTCATATCCCTCCCTTCTCGAATGCCTACCTCTCCCCTTCCCTTCCTCCTCACCATGAAAAACAGGCAGAGAGACACTCAGTCATCAGCTCCTCAACATTTATTTTGTTGTTGTTGTTACTTGTCCAATTGGGTTTCTCCCCATGTGACTAATCCTCCCCACCCTCCTGTGAGATCTGTCACATCAGTTGAGGTCTTCATCTTCTGTGAAGAGCGTTCACATGAGTTGAGGTCTTCGTCCTGCTGTGAAGACTTTTTACATGGGTCGAGGTCTTTGTACTCTGTGAAGGTCCTTCCAATGGGTCGACGTCTTCGTCCCTCTGTGAAGATCCTTCCCATGTGTCGCGGTCTGTGTTCTCCTGTGAAGATCCTTCCCATGAGTCAAGGTCTTTGTCCTTCTGTGAAGATCCTTCCCATGGGCCGAGGTCTTCATCCTTCTTTGAAGATCCTTCATATGAGTCGAGGTCTTCATCCTTCTTTGAAGATCCTTCATATGAGTCAAGGTCTTCATCCTCCTGTGAGTATCCTTCCCATGAGCCGAGGTCTTCGTCCTTCTGTGAAGATCCTTCCCATGGGCCGAGGTCTTCATCCTTCTTTGAATATCCTTCATATGAGTCGAGGTCTTCATCCTTCTTTGAAGATCCTTCATATGAGTCGAGGTCTTCATCCTCCTGTGAATATCCTTCCCATGAGTCGAGGTCTTCATCCTTCTTTGAATATCCTTCATATGAGTCGAGGTCTTCATCCTTCTTTGAAGATCCTTCATATGAGTCGAGGTCTTCATCCTCCTGTGAATATCCTTCCTGAGTCGAGGTCTTCGTCCTTCTGTGAAGATCCTTCCCATGGGCCGAGGTCTTCATCCTTCTTTGAAGATCCTTCATATGAGTCGAGGTCTTCATCCTTCTTTGAAGATCCTCCATATGAGTCGGTCTTCATCCTCCTGTGAGTATCCTTCCCATGAGTCGAGGTCTTCGTCCTTCTGTGAGATTCTTCCCATGAGTCAAGTCTTTGTCGTTGTGTGAAGATCCCTCACATGGGTCGAGCTCTTCGTCCTTCTGTGAAGATCCTTCACATGAGTCTAGGTCTTCGGCCTCCTGTGAAGATCCTTCAGCTGAGTCATCTAGGTCTTCATCCTCTTTGAGTATCCTTCCCATGAGTCTAGGTTTTCGTCCTTCTGTGAAGATCCTTCACATGGGCCTAGGTCTTTGTCCCCCTCCTCTTGGATTGGATCAATGGAATTCTGTCGGGACTGGTCTTTCTCCATTTGATTTGAACATATTTTCTTACCCTTCCTGTAGTAAACACTAATATTGTTGGATATTGTGATTTTTTGGTCTTCTTCAAGCTTTGTTCAGAGGCTAAAGCTCCGTTCAGTGTCTCCTGTGTCTGGTAAGAAACCAGGGAGAGGGCAGAAAGACGTTATTTTTGGTGAAAATGGTAGAGACTGAATAGCCGTGCTGGCAGGAGGGGTTGTTTACAAGAAAAATGCAGGTTGAGAAAGAGGTTTTGTGCCAGAGAAGAACAAGGTGGAATCATAGGGTAGGGATCTATGGGGAGAGAAGAGGAGCATGGCTAGGTCATCCGCGTTAGTCCAAACTGCACCATTTTGTAAGCTCTTTGCTATTTTGCAGGCCTTGGTCAAAGTGAAACATTCCATGGGGGTTCAGGCTGTGAGAAACATCATGCCTAATCACCTGAGCACAGGGCAGACAAAGGCCCCACTAAAGAACATCACTATCACATCTTGCTTGGCAAAGCTCTAAGGAACACCACAATGATATTTCACCAGAACAAGGGCCAAACCACCTAATCATAAGAACATCTCATAAATAACCTGCCAGTCAGCAAACCACAGTGCTTAGATCCCTCCTACCCACACCTGTAATTACCCCAGACTGTAAACAGCAGTAGGCTATGGCATAAAGCTGGGCCCCCACTTCCACAGGTGCCTGCAATATTTCTGTGCTGCTATTTGAGCCACCCCATCTCTATGTGTCCTTCTCTCATCCTAGCGTTCCCTACAAAACTGAACAATCTTACCTCATCACTTTCTTTATTACTAGATTCACAGGGACTCTTCCTCTTCTTCCCGTTGGTGCTTGACGTGGACCTTCCATAATTATGGCAGGTACTAGAATGGGTATACTAGCACCTTCTAGGGTACAGATACCCCAGCTACATTGAAGCTTGCCAGTGGGTCGTCCCAGAGCTTTGCCCTCCCTATATGCACCCTCCTGTGACCCTGGACCAGCAAGCCACCCCTTGAGCTTTGTTTGATCATACAGGCAGTGTCCCAGCCAATGGCAGTCCTAGGATGGCTTTGACATCACAAAGCACCACCCCTGACAACTCCCTGGCAACTCCCCCCCTGGCAACTCCCTGGCAACTCCCTGACAACTCCCTGGCAACTCCCTGGCAACTCCCTGTGCTTGGGGGAAAATGAAAGGGATGTAGAGAAAACCAATGCTGTTGTTGTTTCACCATCCCCTGAAGATGCATCCCAAACTGATCTTAACACTCCCTCATTTCTCTATGTTTAATGTCATGGCTCACATCAAGTGAGAGGATGATTCCTTCAAGCTCTTCCCCACAGCCCTTCATATTAAGTAATACATTTTTTATCTTCCAGCCCCCACCATGACCTAGCATTTTAGATGTCTCACCTGAAATCCCGTCAAGCTAGTGTGGCTACATCTATTATTGGTGGAGATGTGAATTATCCCATTTCCCACCTACAGTTCCTTCATATGCACCTTGAAGACAGTTTACTTTTAGCCTACTGCCAGGCAAATTTCAACCAATATTATTTACCCAATGTCCATGTAGTTCATTTAAGTGTCCTATTTCCAATCTGAAATGTTGGCTTTCAGTCTGTCAAACTTTACTGAAAAAGATGCTCTCCTGTGTATCCTAGTCTTGTTTCAAATGAAGGGTCTGTTCATAGTAATGTAGTATTCCAACGTGAATTCTACCAGTATGTGCAGTGCAGGAGGAATGGATATTCAAGTGCTGGAAGCTGTTCTGAGTGTTTACATGCAGCATACTGCAATCTAAGACCAACATGTGCACCAGTGTGGGCATAGTTGTACTTTATACTGCAAATTGTGTCCATGGGAAAAAAAAGGCATTCAGATCGGAAGGGGAGAAGTAAGAGTATCTTTTGTCAAAGACTACATGAGAGTCTGTGTAGAAAAGTCAATCTTAAAAAGGCTTCTACAATCATTGAGGTTAGCAAGATTGCAGGATAGGAGGTCAACATATAAATCAATTGTATGTTTATATATTAGAAGTGAACAAGTAGAAGTTGAAATTAAGAATGGTGAAATGTAAAATACCACTAAAATTAAATGCTTAGGGATAAATCTGAACAGAGACATAATGATCTGTATACTTAAAACAACAAATTTGCAAAGATAAATTAATGACACAAGGAAAAGAATTGAGATGTATACTTTGATTTTCAGTTAGACGATTCAATATTGTAAGATGTCAGTTATTTCCAAATTCCATCTGTGGCTTCAACTGAATCGTAATCACAATTCTAGGAAGCTTCTTAATATAAATTAACAGGATAATTATAATCATACAAAATATAAATTTTCTAGAATAGCCAAAGAAAAGTGTTGAATCTTAAAAGCTCTGGATTGTATCACTGTCAGTGTTTTAGTTTTGAACGTGTAATGTGGTAGTGTACCTAAGATTTTACTATTGATGAGATTGGGTAAGGGTATATAAGGCCTCTGGGTGCGTATTTTGAAATTTCTTGCGAACTTATAATTGTTTCAAATAAAAACTAAAAATGTTTTAAAAGAGATAAGACAGAAGCCAAAGATAGAAAAGGCATGGCCCTAGATTTACCCCACAGCTTGACACTTGTGCTGTTCTCTATAGAAAGTCACGAAACTCAATAATGGGGAAAAAAGTTGATAAATAAAACAAAAGAATTAGACCTCGGGTTTTCGTTCTAGTGTTCACCAAGCTCCTATATCTTTACTTCATACACTATAAAATCAATAAAAAACTAGCAAATGCTCTGCTAATTTTCAGAAACAAAATTCATAGCATTCCCACCTGTCGTCTAAACACTAACACATCAGGTGAACATTGTTATTAAGGTATACTTTATTTTTTTAGTGAATCCCCGATGTTGTCTAGAGATTAACAATTCCATTTAGTAAACCCTTACAAACTCACATCTAAGTATTTATTTCCTTTGGACTCTTGTCTGCAATTAGCAGTGAGAACAGCACCCTGTCAGGTCATGTTATAAGGACAAAAAAAAAACAAAAAACAAAAATAAACAGCAAGAATCAACAGGCACACTGCATCCAATAGGGTAGGTCAATACTGATTAAAATTGCTGAAAATAACAGCTTTCAATTATTTTATTTATTACTTTTATCATTGTTTTTTAAATTTCTTTACCAAAAATGTTTTGATGAGTATATCTCCATCCAAAGAAAATTCATCAAAATGTTAGGAACACATTCAGTGTATATTCCTATTGAAAGATGACAGCTTACATTATAAATAACACGTATTGAAAACTTAACGATTATGTTATATTTGTCACTAAAATGAATTTTAAAAATTTAAGGTCATCAGCGTACAATGAGTTCATCGTATTGAACTTTTAAAAGATTTCTGATGTGTTCAGTTTTCAAGAATATGTTCCTTATCATATCAGGTTGAGTGACACACTCTCTTATGCCATGCCGTAAAGTCAGAGATGAAGCCAGGACCAGAACCAGGGACCACTGGATACCTTTTCAGCTCGTTTTCGGCCCTTTGTACAAATGCTATTGTAAATTGACACTAGTTAAGTCAAGTAGTAATAACCCTCAACTACATTTTCAATAATTTTTGTCACACTTTTTAGCTGCCTAAGGCAGGTTTAAAAACACCACACAAAGTACCAGCTATAGGAAAGGATCTTCTTGGGATGTGCTCCACTCTGGCCACAGAGAGCAAGGTGTTAGAAACCAACCATATGTTTTGCTCCAGAACACAGACAGGTGAAGAGTAATCATGAGAAAGAGTTGGTTATGAAAGAGGGATAAATCCTCTACTGCTGACTTTGAATGTGACTGAATGAGTGGCTTTGAAAAATGCAGCACCATTACCTCCACTACAGCCACTACTACCTCTCGACATGACTACCGCTACTACTACTAGCAATAGATTCCATACCCCAGAACCTGCTATATGTCAGGCTCTGTGCTGAGCATGTAGTATCTAGATCAAACAGATGGTCCATCCAAAATGGAACAATTTGACAAATTTTCCTGCAAAGGAACCATTTGCAAACAGGTGGATGCAGGGCATCAGAGATTGTGCTAGTAGCAGCTGCCATCACTCCCCAGACCTAAAGGAATGAGAGCAGGGAGGAAGTGGTTACTAGAACCTAAATGACAATAATCATGAGGAAATGGCTATCTGGAGATGAACAGTGACCTCTACCAGAGACTCATCCAGCCCTAGGTGACTCACAGGGATGGAGCCAGGAGAATAGGCCCACAGCCCTCACTCTCCTTCCTTTCTCCCTCCCACCTCTGACTCCTTGAGGCTCCCCATTAGCGAAACCCAGTGGACATCAGAGAGCCCAGGAGCCCATTGAGAGAAGCCCTCTAAACAGCCTTCCAGGACAGAGTGGGTGAAAAGGGTGATAATGTGATCTGGAAAGGCAGAGGGACGTGTTCAGCAGAAATGCATACTCACAGCAGTATCAGGAGGTAGAAACCACCACGGGGACCCCATTTACTGGTGAGGAAATTGTGGCCCAGAGAAGCTCAGCATGTCAATAATTGTCCAATGTTCAAACCTAGGTTCATTCTGCCCTAAATCTCATATTCTTTCTGGCAATCTGGGCAAACTGCATACCTTCTTCAGACTTTGGATCCCTCCGTTGTAGAATGAGTAAATTGGAAAAACGATGCCATTTAAAGAAATATGCTATGAGGTCAGGCACAGTGGCTCACACCTGTAATCCCAGCACTTTAGGAGGCTAAGTGGGGCAGATTGCCCGAGCTCAGGAGATTGAGACGAGCCTGGACAACAAGGCAAACCCGTCTCTCTACGAAAATAGTAAGATTAGCTGGGCGTGGTGGCGCATGCCTGTAGTCCCAGCTACTCCATGGGCTGAGGAATGCAAATTGCTTGAAACCAGGAGGCAGGGGTTGCAGTGAACCGAGTTGGGGCCAGTGCATACCAACGTGGGTGACAGAGCAAGACTCTGTCTCAAAAACGGAATAAAATAAAATAAAATCATAAATAAATACAAATATGCTATGGGTCACATAGATGGCTTTTATTATGTTGATGTATGTTCATTCTATACCCAGTTCAGTTTTTTTCAGGGTTTTTAACATAAAAGTATATTGAATTTTATCAAATGTCCTTTCAGCATCAATTGAAATGATTCTATGGCTTTTAGCTTTCATTCTGTTGATATGCTGTATCAGACTGACTGATTTGTGCATGATCATACCTTTTTGCATACCAGCCATAAGTTACACTTGGTCATGATGAATGATCTTTGTAATGTATTGTTTAATTTGATTTGCTAGTATTTAGTTGAGAATTTTAGCATCAATACCCATCAGACATTTTTGCCTGCAGTTTTGTTTTTTCCTTTGTGATGTGTCTTTGTCCAGTTTTGGTATCAGGTAAAACAGGAGTTTTTGAATGATTTTGAAGTATTTCCCTCTCCTCCATTTTTTGGAATAGTTTGAGTACACTGGTATCAATTGTTGATTCTGGTTCTTCTTTAATGTTTGGTAGAATTCAACAGTGAAGCCATCAAGTCCTGGGCTTTCCTTTACTGGAAGAGTGCTTATTATGGCTTTTAACTTGTTACATATCTTTGGCTTATTCAGGTTTTGGATATCTTCATGCAGACTTGGTAAGTTGTATGGATAAGAATTTATGCATTTCTTGGAGATTTTTCCAATACATTTTCATACAGTTTCTCATAGTCACCACTAACGATCCTTTGAATTTCTGCAGTATCAGTTGTCATGCCCCCTTTTACTCTCTGATTTTATTTATTTGGATTTTCTCTGGTTTTTCTTACTTAGTCTGGCTAAAGTTTGTCATTTTGTAAAGCTTTCCGAAAGCCAACTTTTTGTTTCATCTCTATTCTGTATTGATTTTCTTCATTTTAGTTTTATTATTTCTGCTCTGATCACTAATATGTATTTTCTTCTATGAATTTTGGACTCACTTTGATCTTGTTTTTTCTAGTTTTTTAAGATGTATCATAAGATTATTTATTTGCAGTTGTGCTTTTTAAATGTAGAAACTTCTATCTAGGCAATTCCTACTTAGTGTTGCTTTTGCTGTATCCCATGGTTTTTGGTATGCTGTGTTTCCATTATTATTTTAGAAACTTTTCAATCTACTTCTTAATTTCTTCATTGACCCACTGGTAATTCAGGATCATGTTGTTTGATTTCTATGTATTTGTATAGTTTCTAGAATTCCTTTTCTTATTAGTTTCCAGTTTTATTTTTTGGTGGTCAGAGAAGATCCTTGATAGTGTTTTAAGTTGTTTAAATGTTTTAAAACTTGGTTTATGACCTAACTTATATTCTTATCCTTGAGAATGATCCATGTGCTGAGTAAAAGAAGGTGTACTCTGCAGGCCTTGGAATAAGTTTTTGTTATGTTTATGAGATCCATTTGGTCTGTAATGCAGATTAAGTCTGATTGATGTTTCTTTGTTGACTTTTATGTCTGAAAGATCTGCACATTGCTGAAGTGGGGTGTTGAAGTCTGCCACTCTTACTGTGTTGGGACCTGTCTCTCTCATTAGTTCTAATGCTGTTTCCTTTATATATCTCGGTGCTCCAGTGTTGGGTGCATATATATGTAAAATTTTGTATCCTCTTGCTGAACCAATCCTTTCTTTATTATGTAGTTACCTTTTCTTCCCCTTATAGTTTTCATCTTGAAATCTATCTGTCTCGCTTTGAATACAACTAATCCTGCTTCTTTTGGGTTTCCATTGAGATGGAATATCTTTTTCCATTCCTTTATTTCAAGGCTATGTGTGTCTTTATAGATAAGTGTGTTTCGGTTAGGCAACAGATCAATGTGTCTTGTTTTTTCATACATTCAGCAAGTCAAAGTATTTTAATTGAAGAGTTTAGCCCATTTACATTCAATATTATTATTCATAAGGAAAAACTTACTCCTGTCATTTTGTTATTTATTTTCTGATGGTTTCATGATCTACTCCTCCTTTCTTCTTTCCTGTCTTCCTTCCTTAGTGAAGATGATTTTTCTGTGAGTTTATGGTTTAGTTTCATACCTTTTATTTTTGTGTATCCATTGTATATTTTTTCGTTGAAGTTACCATGAGGCTTGCACATACTATCTTAAACCCATTATTTTAATCTGATAACTACTTAGTTCTAGTTGCATAAAGAAACAAAGAAGCAAAAACAAATATAAACTGAAAACTGAAAATTGCACCTCAACTTCGTCTCACTGCTTTTTGACTTTTTGTTGTTTCTATTTATATATTATTGTAATGACTATGTCTGGAAAAGTTGAAGTTATTATTTTTATTGGTTTATCATACCTTTCCTTCTACTTAGAATAAGAGTAGTTTACACAGTACAATTACATTGTTATAATATTCACTTTTACAATTACCACTGAGTTTTGTTCTCACATTGCCCCTGACTAATTACATTTACCCCTGAGTTTTGTGCTTCAAGTTTGAAAGATCGTTTTTTCAGATATATTATTCTAAGGCAAAAGATTTTTATCCTTCAGCACTTTAAATATATCATGCCTTTCTCTCCTGGCCTGAAAAGTTTCCACTGAAATGTCTGCCGCCAGCCATATGGAGATTCATAGGATGTTGTTGGTTTCTCTTATCTTTCGGTTTTAAGAACCCTTCTTTATCCTTGCTTTTTGGGAATTTGATTATTAATGACTCGAGGTAGACTTCTTTGAGTTAAATATGCTTGTTGTTCTATAATATTCTTATACTTGCATATTGATACCTTTCTTTATGTTTGGAAAGTTCTCTATTATTATCCATTTGAAGAAACTGTATACCCATAGTTTTTTTTTCTATCTCCTCTTAAAGGCCACTAAATCTTAGATTTGTCCTTTTGAGGCTATCTTCTCGATCCTATAGGCATGCTTCATTGATTTCTACTCTTTTTATTCTTTTGTTTTTCTTGACTGTAGATTTGCAGATGGCTGGTCTTCACACTTACTAATTCTTTCTTCTGCTTGATGGTTTCTCTGCTATTAAGAAAATTTGATTGCTGCATAATACACCATGGAATCTTATGCAGCAATCAAATTTTCTTAAATTATGCAGAATCAGAATGATGAGTTTGTGTCGTTTGTAGGGACATGGATGAATCTGGAGAACGTCATCCTCAGCAAACTGACACAAGAACAGAAAAATGAAACACCGCATATTCTCACTCATAGGTGGTATGAAAAATGAGAACACATGGACACAGAAAGGGGAGTACTAAACACTGGGTCTATTGGGGAAAAGGGGAGGGCCAGTGGGAGGGGAGGTGGGAGGGATAGCCTGGGGAGAAATGCCAAATGTGGTGAAGGGGACAAGGAAAGAAAAGCACAGTGCCATGTGTGTTCCTACGCAACTGTCTTACATGCTCTGCTCATGTACCCCCAACCTAAAATCCAATAAAAAATTTAAAAAAATAAGAAAATTTGATAAATTCTACAGTCTATCCCTTGCATTTTTCAGCTCCAGAATTTCATCTTGATTCCTTTTTATTATTTCAAACTCATTGTTAAACTTATCTGATATAACTCTGAATTCTCTATATTATAGTGAATTACTTTGAATTTGAGCAACACAGTATTTTGAATACTCTGTTGAATGGTTACGTATCTCTTTCTTCTCAGAATTGGTCCCTGTGGCTTATTTGCTTCCATTCAGTGAGTTATGTTTTCCCGGATGGTGTCGATACTATTAGCTATTCTTTGGTGTCTGGTCAATGAAGAGTTAGGTATTTTATTGTAGTCTTCACTGTCTGAATTTGTTCGCACCCATCCCTCTTGATAATGTTTTCCAGATAAATTGCAATACTTGGGTGTTTGCGTTTAAGCTGTATCTGCTTTTGGGTGCACCCCAGCCCACTAATGCTGCAGTTCTCGCATACTTGTGGAGGTACCACCTTGATGGTCTCGGAAAAGATCCAGGAAGAAGTCTCTGGGTAATCAGGCAGAGACTCTTGTTCCTCCCCTTACTTTCTCCTAGACAAACTGTTTGTGTCTCTCTCTCTCCATGTTTCTGAGCCATCTAAAGCTGGGGGTAGAGTGACACAGGCACTCCTCTGGCACCAGCACTATGACTGTGGTGGGTCAGACCTGAAGCCAGCACAGCTCTGGGTCTGCCCAAGGCCTGCTGTAACCACCCCCTGGCCCCTGCCTATATTTGCTCACAGCCCTAAGGCTCTGTAATCAGCAGGTGGCAAAGCTAACCAGGCCTGTTGTCCTTCCTTTCAGGGCAGTGAGTTCCCAGAGGTCAGTTCAGAGGTGCTATCCGGGAGTCAGGAATTAGTTAAAGATCTTAGAACTCTACCTGGTGTTCTATTGTATTGCATCTGAGCTGGGGCTAAAGCCACAAGAAGCAGTTCTTCCCACACTTCCCTTCCTTTCCCAAAGGCGAGGGAGCCTCACCTTGTAGTCACCCCTGCTGCAGGCCAGAAAGAGTACTGCAGCACTACCACTGATGCTCCCTTAAGTCCCACGGGTGCTGAAGTCAGCTCATGGTGAATGCTCCCTGGTCTGGGACTCACCCTTCAGGGTAGTGGGTGCCTGTGTAGTCCAGGCAGGTCCAGAAATGCTGTCCAAGAGTCACATCCTTGAACCGGGGCTCCGATAGCCCATGTGTTACTGTATCCCTTCTTGCTATGCTGGTACCTGGAGCCAGTGAGTCTCAGAGAATAACCCAAGCCCTCAATGTTTATTCGAGTCCAAAGGGTATTCAGTTAGCCGGTTATAAATGCTGCCAGACCTGGTCATTTCTTTCAAGACAGCACGTTTCTTTCCAGCCCGGGTGTGTCTAGTCATGCTGTCCAGAAGGTATGCCTGAACACGGGCTTCACACTCTGACCAGTGGCCTATTCTGCTGTGGTTGAGCTGGTATTCAAGACACAAGGAAAAACTTCCTCACAATCCCCTCTCCTCTCCTCAAGTGAAGGAAGGGCTCTTTTTTGGAGCTGCCAGCTGTGCAGTCTGTGGCTAGGGCAGGGATGACGCCAGCACACCCTCGGCTGCCCCAGCTGGTGTCTCAGTAGGTCTGCACACCCTTCCACAGCCCCGCCACAGTCCACTGTCTCTGGGCCCAGTTCAGTGCTAGAGCTGCAGTCCTTATGGCCGAGACTGCCTTTAAGGTTTTCTGAGAAACCTGGAACAGATGAGCCCCTGGTGGCAAGGTTGTTGGGAACTCAAGTTATGATTGCTGGGATGGGCGATTTCCCTCTGGCTTGAGCTGGTTTAAATGCTCCCCTTCCAGGTGGGAGTCAGCTAAGTTTGGTCTGGGTTTCCTTTCTGCCGTAAGAGACAGGACTGAGTTCAGTGCCTCACAACTGCTGCTTCTCTCGCTCTTCCGGCTTCCAAAGATGCTCTTTACACCACACTGCCACTGCCTAGGGTAGGGAAGGGTAGTGTTAGCGACTTAAGACTGTTTTTTTTTTCTAACTTGTCAGTGTCTCTTTCAGTGATACAAGCAAGTACTATGAGAGTTCACCTGATTTTTGGTTCCTATAGAGGTGTTTTGTTCTGTGTGGATGGTTGTTAAACTTCTGTCATTGCGAGGGGCTGATCTGTGGAGGCTTGTTTTCTGCTGTTCTTACTCCCCTCTCTTCCTTAAGGTTTTTTTTTTTTCCCTCTGAAATGTCTAGAATGAAGAGTGTGATGCTTATATTACTATCCAATATGAAAATGCTTTCATGTCGCATGCTGGATGGAAATATTGTTTGCATGACAAATACCTTCAATTGTACCTATCATGAG